CATGTGATGATGCAAATATCTTCATTCTATAGGCTCTTTTCATTGATAATGTCCTTTCATGTATAAAAGCTTTTAATTTTGATAAAGTCCAATTTATTTAAAAAACACATTTTCTGAACTTATTCTTCTTTTGTTTGTTTTTGCTACTGAAGATTAAATCTAAGGGCAGTTAATCACTGGGCCACATCCTCAGTCCTTTTGTTTGTTATTGTGAGACCAAGTCTCCTTAAGTTGCTTAGGGTCTTCTAAGTTGCTGAGAGTACAAGCATGTGCCACACACTCAGCCAATGATTATTATTTTTTTTAAATATAGCTCCTAGAGTTCTGGTCAACTGGAAGGCCTAGAGTGGGGATATTTCAATAGCAAGAAACATTATGAGTACCCCAGTTCTGGTTTCTAAATAGCATTGCCACTAATTAAGAGACCCATGCTCTTCGGAGAAGTGGTCAATTGTTGGCTTCCAACACTGAAATAACTCTACTGACCAAATTTACCAATATTTCAGCCTCAAACAGAATGGTCAGAAATGACTGTGACTAAATATATAAAAATCCATGAGTCAAAATGGTGCTTTCAAGGAAGGGTGGGCAGAGAAGTATCTGACATCACTGTAGGTTGATGATTAAAGAAAAAGTAACTAAGTACTCATCCTGCCTTTCCATAGAAACTCTATGTCTGATCACCAAACAGCTCTAGCCAATGAGGAACAGATATTTACAGGACACTGAAGTCAACAAATGAGGAAAGAACAGAAAAACTGCCATTCAGAAAACCTTAAACAAGTAGATTCAAGAAAGGGACACCAACAGATGCTCAAGTGTTAAAGAGGAAGGTTAACAAGGAATGGCACATTCATATGACGCCAAACTATGGCTCTCAGATTGTATTTTCTAGCTGTGTTAAAAGGCAAATTACTTAGATGAATTAAAATTTAGTTGCATTTATTGGAGCAAAGCAAAACAGACCCCAGGGTGACTTGGGCAGCTTCCAGAACCAGAGCAAGTTCTGAGAACTCTGACCAGCAGGTGATCATATGACACTTATGGGGAAATGGAGGAGTCACAAAACACTTCAAGGAGCCACCAGGCAGCTGACCATTCAGCTGTTCACAGTTTACACAGTTGGTTGGCTCCAGGCCTCCTGCAACCAACCAACACTCAGTTCCTATGATTAAACCACACAGGTATGGGCTGTGGTCCAGGGCAGGTGCTCGACCCAAAACTGAGCTCCCTGGCTCCTCCACTACTTTCACCCCCCCGTCAGATCTGCTCTCCGAATGCTCCCTCTGTTGCACCTCGGGCACTTCTTTTCAGTTAAACAGAAACCTAAGAGTCATCTCAGCTCACATGCAGGAGATCAGCAAACTGAGTAGCTGAAATGTTTCTAAAACTCACCCTCTGCATTTCCAATCTTAGTTAAGACCCATACCATCTCTTACCTGGGCCCCTACCTGGCCTCTCTATCTGTTCCTCTTCCCTCAGATACACACTCCCAGTCACTGCTCTGGAAGCTCCCCTCCTCAGCAGGCAGGGCACACGAGCACTGGTTCAGCTGCCCACTACCAACCTCTAATCTTACATCTAACCACTATCACAACCCCTCATGCACCACTCAGACAGCACTTCATCACCCACCCTTCAGAATGTTCTCCTGGCTCCTCTAATTTATGTTCCATGCTAACACCTTGTACCTAAAGTTCACTCCCATTGGAACGCCTCCTCTAGCCTAACTCATACCCCAGCTGGCTAATACCTCTCGTGACAAGACTTGGTGGCTTCCTTCTAAACTTTTACAGATAATCACACCCTCCACTGTGATGTCTCAGACCTTGTACACATATATACTGCTGCTCTTACCTACTCCAGTATTTGCTCAAGGTCAGTTCCCCCCAATAATTTTGTACTCGTTGAGATCAGCATCTAATGTCTTAAGTTTTATAAACCTAGTTCCAACCCAACATACCCTTATACCTCAATACAAATATGTAATACATTATACCTCAAGTATGTGTTGTATGCACTAAGTGAAGTTTGAGCTTTTCTTCATCTCCTCACAGTGTTTCCATTTTCTGAGAGTATCCCAGGACCACAGTCATGACTCAGTCTATGGAAATCAGTCAGCTGGAATTTGAAAAGCTAAACCCTCCTATCCAAAGGCCGGATGAGTGAAGTCATCAAGACCTGGGGAAGGCATACCATAAATTCATGCCAATTCAAGAGTGTCCAGCTGAGATTAGAACATGTACTCAATTTTGTCTCTTTCTAACCCCTCTTCCCTCTGTGAGAATATTCTTATTTTTCTTTTTTCTTGGTGGGGGAGGGGGGTAATTGGGGGTTGAACCCAGGGGCATTTCACCAGTGAGTTACATCTCCAGCCCTTTTTATATTTATTATTTTGAAACAGTCGCACTAAAATGCTGAGGCTGGCCTTGAACTTGCAACCCTCCTGCCTCAGCCTCCCAAGTCATTGGGATAACAGGCGTGTGTTACTAGGCCCAGCTATATTATTTTTGAAATGTCCCTTATTTAGCATCTTTTATGAAGTAAAACATTCTCTCCCTCCCTCTTAGCCAAACAAGCATTACTTGTCTTCTAATTCACATATGGCTCCAATACTTCGTAAGCCAGTAGGTCTACAGAGACCATCCCATCTCTGTCCTACTGGCACTTTCTTGAATTACAAATTCAATGATAAATAACTATGGCAGGGGACAAAACACTCTCTGGTCACAAGTCAGACAGTATGAAAGCCTATTGCTCGCTAGCAGCTGACTCTAAAGCTAGGAAACTTTCAACAAACCCCAGATTTAATTACAACTGAAAGGAAACCTTGGAGTACAAAGGAGGAACCTGAAGAAAATCTTGGATAACGACAGTACTGAGTCAGATCCTTTCTGATCACCCCAACCTAGGTGTGACCACTCTAACCTCTGAACTCCTTCCTATAACCATATGTGTGGTATCCACTCGACTTGTTTTCTTTTTTTAGGTACCAGAATTGAACCCAATGGTACTTAACCACTGAGCCACATCTCCAGTGCCTTTTATCTTTAATTTTGAGTCAGGGTCTTGCTAACTTGCTGAGGCTAACTTTGAACTCACTATCCTCCTGCTTCAGCCTCCGGAGTCATGGGGATTACAGGCGTGCACTACCACATCCGGCTCAAACTTGTTTTTTTTTTTTTTTAATATTTATTTATTTATTTTTAGTTGTAGTTGGACACAATTTGTATTTATGTGGTGCTGAGGGTCAAACCCAGGGCAACTGAGCCACAATGCCAGCCCTCAAACTTGTTCTTGAAGGGACTATTACTGGCCAGATATTAGTGTATCTGGCTTATTTCATCTTCACAACTCTCCTTTGGGAAGCAGCATGGACAGCATGACAGATAAACTGCCTGGTGCAGTGCTTTGAGCTGGTAGTGCAGGGAGGGCGGATTCTTCATCTGTGCTACAGCCCTGCTACTCAAAACAGCCCTGAGGTCAGCATCACCTGGACGCTGGTTAGACCTGCTGAGTCAACCGTGAACTCTGATCCCTACTGACGAGCATCCATGCCAGTTTGAGAAGCACCATCTACAACCCCCAGACTTGTCCATGATGCAAAGGCCCTGAAATTCATATTGTCTTTGAGACAGGATCCTCACCCAGGCTGACCTCCACCTTACCAGCTGGAGGGAACCCTTCGGCATCAGCTTCCTGAGTAGCTGGGACTCCTGAGTAGCCATCACCACACTGAGCTTCAAATTCTTTATTTTATAAATGATCTTACCTAGTCAATTTTGCTCCCTGGTCAAATAAAATCAGAGGAACATAAATGAAACCAAAGTGGAGCTGGCGTTGTGGCTCAGTGGGAGAGCGCTTGCCTATGTGAGGCACTGGGTTCGACTCTCAGCACCACAAACAAATAAAATAAAAAGTTTCATTTACTAATAAAATATTTAAAGAAATAAAATAAATGAAACCAAAGTGTGTAAAACCACTTCACAAACTGGAAGACACAGTGCAGACACACGCTTTGTGCTGCGCTCATACTGGGATCTCGCGGTGTGTTTCCGACGGCAGGGAGGGACCATCACCTGCAGAGTGTGGCCTCAGCTTGGCCATTCACGAACGAAGGTGCGAGCTGGGGAAACGGTCGCCCCGCTGCACGCAACTCGTCCCACCCCGGCTGTCACATGGCAGTTCTCGCGGCTGGGACCCCGTGCCCGCGGCCTCCCAACGGGGAAGCTGAGCCACCCGGAACCGCAGGCCGGGGCGCGAAGTCGCCGCACCTGCCGGGGCTGCGCAGGTGACACCACCTTCTCCAGGGCTGGGGTCTCCTCGTCACCGGGAAGGCTGGCGTCGTGCGGCGGTGCCTCGCAAGCGGCGGCGCGGACACCAAGCACCGGGGCTGCTGGCGGAGGGCGCAGGGGGATGGCCGCGGAGGGCAGCGCGACGCGTCGGGCGGCCCCGAGGGGAGGGCGGCTCCAAGCCCGCGTCCTCCGACCTCGCACCGCAGGCGCCAGGCCCTCCACGGGCCCCGCCGCCGCCGCCCGACGCTCCGGGCAGGCCCGGGGACGCCGACCCTCAGCCCCGCGGCGAGCAATGCCCGCGGGGTTTCCGACCCCCACGCCCACGCGCGCACGCCCACTCGCCGGTCGCCGCCGCAGCGCTCACCAGCTCTTTGGGCGGCTTCTCCTGGGTTTTTCCAAACAGCCCCATGGCGAACTGAACTCGTCTTGCCCCTTCCGGCTTTCCGTTCCCTGCGCCCAGGCAGGTCCCGGCAGCCGCCTGGGCGGGGCCGTCGAGAGGACAGGAATCCCGACGCCGGGGGAGGGCGCGACGGCGGTGGGGTGCGCACGCGCAGCACGCCCAAAGGAGGGGCGCGATGGCGCGAGTGGTGCGCACGCGTCGTACGCATAGAGGAGCGCTCGGCTGCGGCGGCGACAGCTGCGCACGCCCGGAGGAGGGCGGGGCGGGGCGGGGCCGTCTAGTGAGAGCAAGACTGACATCATTGCGCGCGTGCCCGGGAGATTGTGAAGTGTGGAGTGACCCTTGATGATGCCAACCTGCGTGTGCGCCGGAAGTCCGCTTCCCCTCCCAGATAAGGGTATTTATGACCGCTTCCCGGGGCCGGTGGCTTCCGGGGCAAGCGGGACCCTTTGTCTGGCGGGCCCCGCTCGGCCCCCGTGGGTGCGCTCTGGCGGGGGGGGGGGGGACCAGCGCGGTGCCGCTGCTGTCGCCGCCTCCTAGCGGTGGAGGGGCCGCACCCGCCTCGCCTCTGCTCGGACCCGCGGAGTGGGAGGAGGACTGCCTGAGGGCTAGGGCCAAGGCCCCGCCGGCCAGCCGCCCCCCTGTCACCCTGCAGGCCAGGGAAGGACACGGCTCGCGGACACCCCAGGAGGAGGGGGGAAGACTGGGACCTCGTCGGCAGCGTGGGTCGTCCCGGCAGCCACCGTCAGTGCGGTTGCCCCAGGACTGGCTCTGCGGAGGTCAGCAGTACTCGAGGGGCAGTTTTTCCTTGGTGAGATGATGCTCCTGCCTAGGGAAGCCCTCTTTTCCCCCAGGAGGCGACTGCCGACACTTAAGAGGGCATCCATCCTCTTAAGCATGCTGTCGCTTGGGGTGGTTTCAGTCCCTTGTCAAAGATGCTGACCAACCAGGTCAGTAGTTCCTGGAGTCCACGGTAACTGAAGAAGAAGGTGGCTCAGAAGAGAGAGAAAAGGCAAATGGAGTTGGTTAGGTCAGTAACTGGACCCTCTACACTCTGGAGAGATTTGAGCAGTTTGTTAAAGTGCTGAACATAGACCTCTCCTGTAACCTAGCCATTCCACACCTGCTCTTTGCCCAACAGGAAAGAGTATGTGCCCTTAAAAAGAGCTGTGCTAATGGCCCAAACTGGAAATGATCCACATGTCCCTCAATAGGTCAGTCAGTAAACCAATCGTGATAGATCCATGGAATGAAATATCTCCCAGGGATAAAAAAGCGCAAGTTTGATATATCCAACAGCATGTATAATCCCATGAACATGCTAAGTGGAAGGTATCAGTATAGAAAATACAAACGATATGACAGAAAGTATATGACCAGTGGTTGCTGGGGAATGGATGGGTCTGGGAGGGAAGGAAGGGTTACAAAGAGACACAGGAAATTTTGCAGGGGTTTGGATATTATCTTGATTGAGGTGATGATTTCACTTGTATCTACATTGTCAAGTTTGTCAAATTAGATGAACTTGTAATTACTCTTATGTCAATCATATGTCAATGTAAAGTTCTTTAAAACTTCCATTCTTACTTCCTTAGGGGAAAGGTCTCAAGACAATTCTAAGTGCGAATCCTTCAAAACTTTCCCCTAGAGAATGTATATCTGTATGTAATAGGAATTACATTATACATGTTGTTAAATACATATACATATTGTTCTGCATCTCCTTTAAAATTCTTTTATGTAAATTTTCATCAGTGTCAATATTTACAGGTATAGGATTCTGTAGAAGGAATGTACCATAATTTAATCATTTCTCTGCTTCACAACATTTAAGTTGAATGCTGCACATTCACATTTCGAATTTTTAAACATAATACCAATATACTCCATGCAGGTTGTACTATTTTAATTTCTCTGAGCATCTTTTAATATTTTAATTTTTTAGTTGTAGATGGACACAGTACCTTTTTATTTATTTATTTTTAATGTGGTGCTGAGTATTGAACCCAGAACCTCACACATGCTAGGCGAGCGCTGTACCACTGAGCCACAACCCCAGCCCTCTGAGTATCTTTTTATTTATTAGCCACTTGGATTTCTGTAAATTGCCTCTTAATATCATTTGCCCATTTCCTTTCCTTCTTATTTCTCATATAAGAAGGTCTTCAAAATATGAGATATCTAGGTCTGAGGACATTTTTGTCCTTTTGAGAATAAACTACAATTTTTCAAGTAGAAGGATACTGGTCTGCCAATAAGTGAACAATACTTGATCAAATACCTCCTATGTGCCAGGCTTTGGGAAGATGACAGTGGACAGAAAAGAACCTCATATAATCTGGTGAGGACAGTCATTAAACAATGGTGATGAATAGAATTGAATGAATTAATCTTGTGATAATCAGCTTTCTATTACCTGGGTCAAAATAGCTGAGAAAAACAAGGATTTACTTTGGCTCATGGTTTCATAGGTTTTGGTTCATGATCACTCCATCCATTGTTTCTGGGCCTGTATTGAGACAGAACATCATGTAGAGAAGGCATGCTCACCTCATGGTAGCCAGAATCAGAGTTAAGGGGCAAGATATACCCTGTTTCCTCCACAAGGCCCAACCTCCTGAAGTCTCCACTGCTTCCCCAATAGCACCTCTGTCCAAGCCTCTAAAAGGTGAGCCTTGGGGACATTCCAGATCCAAACTGCAGCGACCAAGAAGGTGCAGAGTTCTGAGTCCCCCCGCAGCCTTCTGACTAGAGACCTGGTGATGAGTGGCCTTCCTGTGAGCAGATGGTGTGTCTGCTGAGAGAGACTTGATGTGTGAACTGGTAGAGAGATGAAGACTATCTGTAGCAAGGAATCAACAGGCGCCAAAAAACCTTCCCAGCGTCATATCCTAAAGCTGTGCTTGTTCAAATGCTGGTCATCAAGGCGGGAGTGTAAATGAAAAAATGTTGGATTTGGCACTGGCCCCCTCAGTGTGCTGCCGAGCCACAAATGCTGAGAGCAAGGAAGGAGACTGCCTCTTTCTCCTTCACATTTTTCAGGTCACCCTCAGCATCACATGCTCCACTTGTGTCCTGAGGTTGCCTTGGCACTGGACAAGGCACTGTCTCCCTTGCTGTGCCTGCAGTTTGTCTTTCCTAGGTGCCCCAGGGAGCGGGTGGATCCTCCCACCTGCTGAGACTCACATCTGAGGGGTGGGAAGAGCTAAGTGAGCATTGCCACTCTGCGCCTGCCAAAGTCAGCATGCATTTAGCAGGATCACACTCCCTGCCATATGTTCATGCACACTGGTAAAGGTTTTATGTGCATTCTCTTCGTGATCCCTGAAACACATTAAATAGAAACATCCTTGATTTAAATCCTCTCAGTTTGGAATGAAAATAGAAGTGAGAATGAGAACTGGTCTTCCTCACCTCCCAGTTCGACCTTGCTCACTTCCCTAAGATGTCCAGTCCAGGGAAGCTTCCCAGCTCAGCTGTTCCCATGGGCCAGAATGTCAAAAGAAAAGCTTTGGGCAAGAAAGCCACAGCCCAATTCTGGCAGAAATTTTGGCTAATAAAACCAAGATACATCCTATTGTGTAAACTGGTGAGTGCTGTAGAAAATGTCAGCTGTACACCGGCCTTTGAAAATGGAATTCATCTCGGTGACAATAACTTTGACCTTCCGGTTCAAGGAGCTTCCAACCCACAGCTCATGACTTGAAATCTTGAGTCATCTCTTGCCTGTTTCCAGCCTTCCTTTACCACCCTTCCAATGAGCCTTGGCTGTGGGTGGAATGTGGATTGTTCCCCTCAACCTCATGCTGGGGGTTAGTGTCATTGTGAACTATTTAGAGATGATTAGAGGTAGCACCTTGGGGGAAAGAGTAGGATCCCACAGAGTCATTAGGGTGGAGAACCAGTGGCTGAATGCTGGTGACCCTAAGGAGGAGACCTGAGAGAGACCAAGATGCATGCACTACTTGTCTCCCAACTCGTGGTGCCCTGTGCCTCTCAGGACCCACCAGGAGACTATCACAGATGTAGCCCCTTCACCCTTGACCAGAACTGTGAGCCAAAGCAAACCTCGTTTCTTTAAAACTCACCCAGTCTGTGGCATTAATAGCAAAAAAAAAAAAAAAAAAAAAAAAGGACTAACACATCCGTGTATTAGACCCTTAGGATTGCTGTAACAAAGTACCAGAACTGGGTGGCTTGGAACTTATTAAAATGTTGGCAGGACCCACACTCCCTTTGAGACTCTGAATAGTCTCTTTCTATTCCTGCTCCTGGCGACAGCTGCCATCATCAGCATTGCTCAGCTCACAGCTGTGTCACTGCAGTCTTCCTCTTTCTCCCTTACATGAGGTGGATTAAGAGCCCCTTCTAAATCCTGGATGACATTTTAGCTATTTACATATGCAATGACTCCACTTCCAAATAAGGTCACATACTGAGGTACTGGATGTTAGGATAGCAACTTTTTTTTTTAAATTTCTGAGCATTTGTATGAGTACATAATCTATAGAATAATGAGTTTCATTGTGGCAAATTCATACATGCATAAAATATACTCTAACCAAAGTATGGTCAAAGTAGTATCTTTTTAATTTTTTTTAATTTATTCTAATTTGTTTTATATGACTGCAGAATGCATTTCAATTCATAGTACACAATTTTTCATGTCTCTGGTTGTACCCAAAGTAGAGTCACACCATTTGGGCCTTCATACATGTACCTAGGGTAATGATGTCCATCTCATTCCACCATCTTTCCTACCCTCATGCCCCTTCCCTTCTCTTCTTTCCCCTTTGCCCTACCTAAAGTTCCTCCATTCTTCCTATGCTCCCACCCCCATCCCCATTATGAATCAGCATCCTCATATCAGAGAAAACATTTGGCATTTGGTTTTGGGGGATTGGCTTACTTCACTTAGCATTATATTCTACAACTCCATCCATTTCTCTGCAAATGCCATGATTTCATTCTTTTAATGCTGAATAATATTCCACTGTGTGTAATATATACCACATTTTTTAATCCATTCATCTACTGAAGGGCATCTAGGTTGGTTCCACAGTTTAGCTATTGTGAATTGTGCTGCTGCGTCCCTATAATATGTTGTTTTAAAATCCTTTGGGTATAAACCACGAAGTGGGATAGCTGGGTCACATGCTGGTTTTATATCCAGTTTTCAAAGGACTTTCCATACTTCTTTCCAGATTGGTTGCACCAATTTGTAGTCCCACCAGCAAGGTATGAGTGTGCCTTTTTCCCCACAACCTCATGAACATTTATTGTTTGTATTCTTAATAGCTGCCCTTCTGATGGGGTGAGATGAAATCTTAGAGTAGTTTTGATTTGAATTTCTCTAATTGCTAGAGATGTTGAGCTTTTTTTATATTTATTGATCAATTGTATATCCTCTTCTGAGAAGTGTCTGTTCAGTTCCTTGGCCCATTTATTGATTGGGTTATTGTTTTTTAGTGTTAAGATTTTTGAATTGTTTATATCCTAAAGATGAGTGCTCTATCTGATATGCATGTGGTAAAAATTTGTTCCCATTCTATAGACTCACTCTTTACCTCACTATTTCTTTTGCTGAGAAACAGCTTTTTTAATTGTTGTTAATATTTATTTTTTAGTTGTAGTTGGACAAAATACCTTTATTTATTTTTATGTGGTGTTAAGGATTGAACCCAGGGCCTCACATGTGCTAGGCAAGCACTTTACCACTGAGTCACAACCCCAGCCCCTGAGAAGAAGCTTTTTAGTTTGAATCCATCCTATTTATTGATTCTTGATTTTAATTCTTGTGCTTTAGGAGTCTTATTAAGGAAGTTGGGGCCTAATCTGACATGATGGAGGTTGGGGCTAATTTCTCTTCTATTAGGTGCAGGGTCACTGGTTTAATTCCTAGGTCCTTAGAGTTTAGTTTTGTGCATGGTGAGAGATGGGGGTTTAATTTCATTTTTTTTTTTTTTTTTTTGCTTATGGATTTCCACTTTTCCCAGCACCATTTGTTGAGGGAGGCTATCTTTCCTCCAATGTATGTTTTTAGCAGCTTTGTCTGATATAAGATTGTGGGGAGCTGCTCTGAATGACCGCGCCTTCCAGTCCTGAAGCATGAAGCTCTGACCAATCACTACAATTTGTGGTGACTTGGGTGTTGTCCCAGCTGGAATAGCAAGGCATGGCTCCAAGGGTAGGTGTCACCCGAAGGTTTCTCTGTAATCCTACCCCTTGCCTCATTTGAATGGCTTCCTCCCAATAAAAGGGTACAGCACGTGCTCTTGTCTCTCTTTCCACAGACCCTTGAGGTCAGAGGAGCCGTCAAAGGACTCAAAAAAAAAAAAAAAAAAAGGTATTTCTCTGTCTCTGTGTGATTATTTCATGCCAGCCCAGTTCACCAGGAATGACCTTAAGTGTTTAGTCATGGAACACAACATAAGATAACTGTAATTTTGTGGGTTAGTGTCAGTGTTCTCTATTCTGTACTATCGTTGTATGTGTCTATTTTGGTGGCAATACCATGCTATTCTTGTTACTACTGCTCTGTAGTATAGTTTAAGGTCTGGTTTGGTGATGCTTCCTGCTTCACTCTTCTTGCTAAAGATTGCTTTTGCTATTCTGCGTCTCATATTTTTCCAGATTAATTTCATGACTTTTTATATTTCTATGAGGAATGTCACTGGAATTTTGATTGGGATTGCATTAAA